AACAACAGTTTGTTTCTTGCTTTTCCAAGAAATCAGAGAATCGCTAAGAAACATACAAAAACCAAAAGTAGATTTATAATCATTAACATCACCGGCCCAATCAACATCAGCATAAGCCACCAAGTCTAAGGAAGAAGTAGAAGAAAAAAGCAAGCCTTAGAAGATAGTACTGCGAAGATAGCGAAGAATCCGAAGCAAAGCAGCCCAATGTGTAGAGCGAGGAGCAGAAACAAACTAACTAACCACATGGATATCATAAGCAAGATCAGGGCGAGTAACTGTCAGATAGACTAAGCAACCCACAAGCTCGCGATATAATGTAGGATCGTCTAGGGGAACACCATTAGTAGTGTTGAGTTTTACATTAAGCTCAATGGGGGATATCAGAAAGCTTAGTGTTAGTAAGTCCGGCACAATGGATAACCTTGTTGGCATACTTAGCCTGGGACAGAAAGTAACCCTTGGCAGAATAAGCCACCTCAATACTAAGAAAATACCGCAATGGTCTTAGATCCTTCATTTTGAAGGTGCGGAAGAGATGCTGCTTGACCTCAGCGATAGGAGAAGAGTCAAAGCCAGTGATGATTATATCTTCCACATATAGTAAGAGAGCAACAAAACCAGCCAAGGTATGTCTTAGAAATAAAGCAGAGTCGGAAGCAAAAGGACGAAACCCAAGCTCGGTAATAGCAGTCTGAAAGCGATCATAACAAGCACGAAGAGACTGCTTCAGACCATACAGAGCACACCGAAAACGACAAACCTGACCAGAGGAATGGTGAAGACCAGGGGGAGGACGCATGTAAACCTCCTCAGTGAGATGGCCATTAAGAAAAGCATTCTTAACATCCATCTGGTAAAAAGGCCAAGAACGAACAGCAGCAACAGAGATCAAAGTACAGACAGTAGTCATCGTGGCAACAAGAGCAAATGTCTCCTCATAATCAATACCATATTCCTGGGAGAAACCTTTGGCCACCAAACAAGCTTTGTAGCACTCAAGAGAACCATTAGAATAAGTCTTGACTTTGTAGACCCATTTGCAAACAACCAGATTCTTACCAGCAGGCAAAGGAACCAACTCCCAAGTACTAGTTTTCTATAGAGCAAACAACTCATCCTCCATAGCTTGAACCCAATAAAGATCCTAACAAGCCTCCTTATAAGACTGAGGTTCTACAAAAGAGTGAATGGCAGACAAAAAGGTACGATAGGAAGCAGAAAAACAAGTATTAGACCAACCTAACCTGTTTAGAGGATGACGCGTTTAAGGAGGATATCAATGTGTAGCAGGACCAGAGTCGTCAGAAGCAGGAGGATCAACAACAGGGCCAGAGACAACTGGTGGAGGAGGAGCTTTGCGACAAGAACAAACTAACAACGGAGGAGGAGAAGAAGACGAAGGAGGAGAAGAAGTCAAAGGTGAAGCAGGAGAAGAAGATGGAACAAGTGCAGGAAGAACTGTGGAGATGTACTCAGCAGATGGGACCTCAGAAGGAAATGGATCAATATAAACCAAATCCTCTGTGGAAACTGGGACGGTGAGAGGAAGAAGCTAAAAGTAAGATAGACGTTCGAGAAAGGCAACATGGCGGGAGACATAAAGGCGACGAGAAACAGGGTCATAACAATGATAACCTTTCTGAGTGAGACTATAACCCAAAAAGACACATAAGACAGACCGGGCACTAAGTTTGATCCTGTCTTTACGGGGTAAAAGGACAAAACAAGCAGACCCAAACACACAAAGGAGGGAGTAATTAGGAAGTTGAGAAAACAGAGCCTCATAAGGAAACCGACTAGAAAGAAGGGAGGTAGGCATACGGTTGAAAAGAAAAGCAGCAGTAAGAACTGCCTCACCCCAAAATGGAGCCGGAACGGAGGCAGAGAGAAGGAGAGACTTGGCTGTCTCAAGGAGATGACGGTGTTTACGCTCAACTCGACCATTTTGGGTAGGTGTATCAGTACAAGAAGTTTGGTGAATGGTACCCAATTTGGCCAAATATTCACAGAACTCAGTTTTAAAGTATTCCCCACCCAAGTCAGACCGTAATAATTTAATAGTAGACCCAAACTGTATAGTGACCATAGACTGGAAAGTACGGTATATCTGGTAAAAGTCAAACTTATAAGTCATAAGATAAACCCACGTGTAATGGGTGCAATCATCAACAAAAGACACATAGTATGCAAAACCCCCTTTAGTAAGAACATGAGAGGGTCCCTAGACATCAGTATATACAAGAGAAAAAGGAGAAACATAAATAGATGTACTTTTATTAAATGGTAAAGCTGACATTTTAGCAAGTTTACACCCTCGACATTCATCAATTTGACTAGGAGAAACCTTACCCAACAACCCTGACTGAGTTAAAGACCGTAAACGGTCAACAGACAAATGACCGAGGCAAGAATGCCACGAGTAAAACTGACTCGACTGAGAATCTAACTGAAACGAGAAAAGTGCAGCTGGAGAGATGGATAAGGAAAGATGCAAGCTGTCGACCACAGAGATCTCCAACTCTACGGCCGGTCCCAATCTGCTTCTTGGACACCCGATCTTGCACACAACGGACAGAAGAGGCAAAGAAAACATCAAAACCAGATGTATCAAGTTGACTGATAGATAATAAACTGACAGATAATTGAAGGACATAAAAAACAGAAGAAACAGTAACAGCAGACATGACCAAGGGTAAGACAAACCCAATAGACAGAACAGACCCATTAGCAGTATTAATAGTAATAGGAACGGGTGGGGGATTACAGTTTTAAAGTAAGGAAATGTAAGGAGTCATATGATGAGAGGCACCAAAATCAAAGAGCCAGACAGAAAAAGGGATACCCTACGTTACACGGACTCGTCAGTTTTGGCGAAGTACCCGTGTCGACACAACACGACACGGGTACGGGTATATATTTTTTAAAAAAAGTTATTTAACGTATCCCCGTACCCGTATCCAAATTTGGATACATATCCACGTATCCTTAATTTTTAATTTTGAAGTGTCCGACCCTTAGATACGTACCCGCACCCGATACTCGTACCCGAGTCCAGACAGAAAAAGGGATACCTGAAGAGGACCCAAGCAAACCTGAATGAAGAGAGGTAAGAGCGGAGGCAGATGGGGATGGCTGAGAGGTGGACAGGAGATTCTGAAGTTGTGCGACCTGAGCACTCAAGGAAGCCTAGTCAGGATCAGAAACCGAAGCAGATGCAATATAAGCAGCAGGAGGGCGAAAAGTACTCGGAGCAGGACCTCGGAACTGTGGCTGAGACGGCTGAGCAAATTGACGGCTCTTCTTGGGACAGTTGTACTTCCAATGACCCTTTTGATGGCAAAAAGCACACTCATTTGATGCTAAGGGCCCCTTTTTGGGCTTGGCAGAAGACTGAAGCTGAGAAGCAGATGGAGTCGCTAATAGAGGTGGCTGTGCTAAGAAGACTGAAGGAGACAGAATCTGACTAGCCGTCTTAAGACGGGTTTCCTCGGAGAGGAGCTCACGAACAATAGCATTTACAGAGGGAAGAGGAGACCGATGAAGGATGCCACCACGGATAGCCTCATACTGAGAGGAGAGAGCCGTTAAGAACTACACTAAACGACCTTGCTCTCGAACTCAATATAAGCATCTAGTGCCTTGAGACTAGATGGTTCCATGAGAGCCAACTGATCCCAAAGAGCTATCATCTCAATGTGGAAGTCCTGAATAAATTGATCCCGCTAGCGAGCACTCTGAATCGTTGTTTCCAACTCATACTGTTTGGCAAAGTTGGACTGTTGATACACATCCGATAAATAGTCTCACACCTCCTTAGCAGTACTGTATTTGGAAAACATCATTCCAATACGGTAATCCACAGAATTATGAAACCAGGTCAAAACTTGGGCATTATCACAATCCCAAGTGTCACAGGAAGTCAAATATCCTTCTTGTTTCGGGTCCAATGGACGAAGAACAGAACCAAAAACATAGCCCCATTTTTTCTTACCAAGAAGGAAATTCTTCATAACACTAGCCCAATAAGCATAATTGGCACCAATGAGTTTACATCTGATAGCTTGAATTTTAGTATCCGTCATTGTAATAAACTAAAGATTAATGGGTCAAAGTATACTAATAACTTAATAAATGGGCCAAACAGGAATAAGGGTTTTTATACTATTGATAACAAATCACCAAGACAGAGATAGAGAGATGAGAACCAGAGTCGCGAGAGAGAGTCGCAATGATGAACCGAGATGAAGCCACAGAGAGAGAGGGAGAACCAAAGTCAAAAAATCGCGAAAGGGAGTCGCGATGACGAACCGAGATGAAGCCGACAAGGACTGAGAGAGATACGCTGAAGCAGGCGCAATGATTGATCGCGATTTACAACCGATGGGTTGCGATTGAACAGAGAGGCTATGGCTGTTAGGGTTTCGACTCTACAAGCTAGGGTTTCGAACTCAGCTCTGATACCATGTAAGTATTTCTGAATGAATTGTATATTCAACTTGTATATATTGAACAAAGAATACATCATTTATATAGAATACTAAATCCTAATCATACATGAATACATCACTGATATATAGAAGTCTAATAGATATAGGACTCTAATTCCTAATCCTATAAGGAAAAAAGAGAACATATTCTCACAGTTTTCAGAGTCCTTAGCTTCTTGTATCATTTTTTTGTTTGGACTGTCTTCCCTTCTGGTTGAAGGGTTCCTCATCCTGTTCCTCTATCTATCACTTTTTTTTTCTTCCCCCACCAATCTATGAGCAATAGCTTCTTATCCCAGAGAGAGAAAGAGAGAGACTACAAAAGGAAATTTCCCAAAGAGGTATTATTTTTGGGATCAAGGCTTCTAAAGTTGAGTTTTCCAAAATATGCACCAGGCACTAGGCTTATTCTACTTCCTACCACCAAAATAATATAATATTGCAAGCATGCTGGCCAAAACTGGAGCATATATTGTGGTCTGCTAATAACAGCATACAGTACTGGTTTACCTGTTTCAGTGCCACATACACCTTTAGGTTTTCCAGTTGATCCCGATGTGAACATTAAGTAACAAAACGACCTTGTTTTTTCATTTTCACAATGCCATGCTAAATTTGATGAACCAAATTGCTGCTGAAGGTTTTCTTTCATGGATATAAATAACTCAGGACAAGTGCTACAATCAACAAGCCCCTCTGATTTATCAGGCTCATGACAGCCACTTCCATCAAATGAAGATTGACATCTAATAATAAGATCCACATTTGACAAAGCAACAATGGTTGATATTCTTTCTTTCGGCCACAAAGGATCTAAAGGCATAAAAGCCTCCCCACACCTCAGTACAGAAAGAACAGCAATAATGTATTCCACAGAAGGTACCATATATATTCCCAATATTTTTGGAGTATACATATACTGATCCTCAGTAGACTGCTTTACACCTAGACTACAAGAATTCGAACATTCAGATTGTACTGGCTGCTCACTCAGAAAATTACCTGCAAGAAAGACAAAGGGGTTTATCAAGGATCAACAGTGAATCGTGTCACGAAGATTCAAAAAATAAAAAATATATGTTCCAGTGACATCTAGTTAACTTCAGTAGAGACCAAGTTAATCTCATTAACTATTTCCACCTTGATCATGTCTGAGAACATTGGTTTTGAATCATCTGTCTCAGAGATCATGATCAAAGATTCGAAACCCCAAATGTGTGTCAAACCATTATGAGAGCATTGAATAAATAAACTATCAAAAGGTAGCCTATTCGGTCTTTGTTGTTGGAGGCCATTATCAAATTGCAAGCTGGTAAACAAACACTTGGTCAATTGGGCTTACCACTCACATTAGATGCAACATGTGCAAAGTAAATCAGGCTTCGATCACACACCAAGGACTTAATTTTAACATTTTACACCTCACTAAGGTCTGGAGGCTCCTTCTAATACATGAGACTTAAACCATTGATCACTTCCTCTAAGCTTTATTTGATCTTCAGGCCATCTAACCTCCACCATCACCAAACAGTAGATATGAAAGCAAACAATAAAATCGACCTGCTGCTAATATAACCCAGACAATGAAAGCAAGTGTTACTGACCTACTTTCTGAAACTATAGCTTCAATCTAACCCAATTAAAACACGGACATAAACATATATACAATCAAATACCTGTGCATAATTCAGCAGAGTTCAAGTCTTCATACTTGTGCAACTACTAAATTCCAGTCATATTTTTATAAAAATTCAAGCAATAAGTTTCAGCACAGTATCCTCTGTTCAAATCCGTCTCTCCCGTCCCAAAACACTCTCGGGCGTTGAATTATGACTCTAGATTCCCGAACCCCAAGAAAAAGTCTAGCAACATAGAATTGGACACAACCCTCTACCTTTTTGTGAGTTCTACATCCATGTAGGAGAGAGTTGTGTCAATTCTGTGATTGTTTCTGTGCATGTATAAGACCTGGCAAGTGTAATGCTCTATTTGGTTCATTGGAATGAAATAGAATGGAATAATGATTCTGTAGGCTTTCTTATGGAATGACCAGTCCCTTAAACTAGTGAAATTTGATTCATTTGTAATACATTTGTTATTATTTTTTTAGTCTAACCAAACATGGGTATGAATATTTTGATGGAATGATTATTCCATTCCACCTCATTCCATTGAACCAAACACTATCTAACACTCCGTTTGGATCGTGAGAGGAGGTGAGAAAATAAATAATTGTGGTTTCTCACCTAGATCAGAAAAGAAAAGAAATTACTATGGTTTCTCACCATTATGTTTGGATGAATAAAAGAGAAATAAATGTGGTTTCTCACCTTATTTGATAGAGTAAATAAGAGAAAAAGAAAGGAAACGATTATATTAATCAAAATAACTTTTCATATTAATAAGCTATGATTTTTCATAAGAACAAATTTTGGTATTATAGAAAACTTTTATTAAAGTCAATCCTTTCTCATCATCTCTCATCATTTCTCACCATTTCTCAAACAAGTAAAAGGTTTCCTATTCTCACCGTTTCTTTTCTTTTCTCACCAAACTTCTCCATCCAAACGGAGTGCTAGTGTTAGGATAGGGAATAGCAAATTAGAGATCATTGGCCCTAATTTTCAATATCAAATTTTAAATACAAATTAGAACGCATGACACTAGCTAGCAGTAACTCAAAATCGATTCGTGTTGAAGTAACTTCATCTATTTCGCAAACAATTGCATGCTTATCACAAGAAATTACAACAACAAAAACATAACATAACAAAACAAAACCAAAACCAAAACCAAAACCAAAAAAAAAAGACTAAATAAAGAAGCGACAAGCCCACATATACGATAGAAGATAGAGAAGGGTCTAACCAGAGGTGGGCCTCACAAGATAGGGATCATCCCCACCGTCGAGGATGCGGCGGAGGCGCGAACTGAGGGAGTCGACGGCGGAGAGAATTTCAGAGAAAGTGAAACACCGATCGCCACTGCACACCGGAGGATTAGACGACGGTGCCGCTGCTGCGAAAAGGTCGCCGAAGAAGTTGTCGTAGTTGATATCGGACACACTGGTGGCGTTGTTGTTGCTGCGAAACTCTCTGGCGATGTTGGCGCCACCGCAGCCATGTATGACGGCGACTTTGTTGGGGTTTCTGGTTGCAGCTTTCAAGAATTCGTGAGATATGCAGCAAGAAGAGAGCTTCGTTCTGGTCATCTCTGCCACAGAGAGAGAGAGAGAGAGAGACCTATAATGTAGCCAAGAGAAAATCTTTCTTGCAGTGTTTCCGTTTTGATTTAAGAGAAATGCTTGGCGCATCCAAAGAGAGGTAACCCTCCGCCGGAATGACGACGGACGACCGTGTGGCGTCAATCAGCATCTGCTTAGACCATCTATCAATTTTTTTTTATTAACACCTCGTTTGAGAGAGCTTTTCCCAATATAAGTCTTTTTTACATTGTATTTTCAAAATTAGGTTGATTTCTGTCGAAATTTCAAAACTAAGCTAAAGCGTCATTATTATTCACGCTTTTACTATTAGGAGCGCAAAAGTAGATGGACAGGAAAATCGCTATTACAAATAGCGACTTTGATTAAGAAGTCGCTGTTACAAATAGCGCTTCTAGGGTTAATTTTTTTCCCAAGGAAAACGCGGTTAAGAACAGCGCTTTTAATCCAAATTCATTTTTCCCAGAAAACGCTATTACGAATAGCGATTTTAACATGAATAAACGCTATTACAAATAGCGATTTTAACAGAATTTTTTTTTTTCGCCCAGCGTTTTTAACATAAACTTTGTTGGAATAAAACGCTATTTTCAAGATAAAACAAAAGAAAAAAACATAAAACATATTTTAAAAAATATATTTACACTGTATATTTTAGTACTTGGCTTTACTAAAGCCATTATCATGTTAAAATATGTTTTTTTTTTCTTTTGTTTTTATTTTTGTTTTTGTTTAGAATGTGTAATTCATAAATTTTACATAATATGAAAAAAAAACCTCTTTTCATATATTAATTTTACATACTATTTTTCATATATATAATTTCAAAATCATATTCATGTAGATATTATTAAGCCAATCATGTTCATTTTTTTGGCTTTACTGAAACCGTTGTCATGTTACATTTTTCATTTTTTCTTTTGTCTTTGTTTTGATTTAGAAAATGTAATTCAAAATTTTTTTTCGTCTTCACTAAAGTTGTTTTCATGTAAATTTTTTTTTTGCTTATTGTTTTGGGTTTGTTTTGGGTTAGAAGGTGATAATGTAATTAATAATCTTTTTTTCGCTTTACTAAAGTCGTTTTCATGTAATTTTTTTTTTCTTTTGTCTTTGTTTTGGGTTGGAAGGTGTTATTTAGAAAATTATTTTGGCTTTACGAAAGCCGTTTTCATTTAAACGTACATATATATTTATTCTTTTGTTTTGGGTTAGAAGGTGAGAATGTAATTCAGAAAATCAGTTTAGTAAAACCGTTTTGTACCCGTTTTCATTTAAATTTATTTTGTTATGGGTTAGAATGTGATATGCATGCTGTACAGTTCGAAGCACACCCACACATTGTGCAACTCGACGAGCAACGACGAAGGGTGAGACGCGAAGACCACCGCGGAGTAGGCCAAGAAGACAAAGGCCACAGCGAGAGCTCCTAAAATAAATTTTCTCAACATTTTTGTAATAATACTTAATACATAATATACGAAGTCAGTACTTTACAAAATACTCATACGGGCATGAAAACAACATAACTGAAGTTGCAAATGTAATAATTTTCAGTTACATAGGTAGTACAGATATAATTCTCCCACAAAAATACATTATGGACACCATGAACTGAACACACATTACATACATCCTGGACACTCTTAACTGAACACACAATACATAAACATAACAGTTAGATAGACAAACACCTAATTCATGACCTAATATTGCATATTAATAGCCGTAACATTTGACAGACACAATACATAAACATAAACTTAAACATAAACATAAACATAAATAACATAACATAACAGTTATACTTACTCTAACACAGACATTACATATTAATGCAAGTTGTTATATTGCCGAAGTGTAGACATTAACACCTAATTCGCGCTTAAATCGGCAAGTGGCTCAGAGTCTGAACAATCCGAAAGCTCAGCATCAGAGACAAGCTGAGGATCCTCCATGATACCCTTGATAGCCGCATCATTTGGTTCTGTTTTGTTCTTCTGGGCATCCTTCTTAAGTATGAGTAGCTGCATATCGCGGGCCAATCTACGACCCATTTGAGAAATCTCACGTTCTAGTGTTTGACATAGTCGATCAACATTATCAGGATCTTCCTTTTGGATCTCAACAGAACGTGCTTTTGGCACCTTCAGTCGTCTTTCCCGACATAATCTTTCGTTTTGCACTCGCTCTATAAATAGTGCGGGCCACTTAAGAAGTCTAGCCTTTGCATAACCATATCCTGTTTGATTTTCTGATGGATCCTCCACCAAACCACATGGATCTCAATAGTACTTGGGCATGACAAAATGTCGCTTCCCAAACCTATCATGATAAGCACAAGAGGCATCCAAGAAAGGAAATGGTGTTTCATCTTCAGCATCGCCACTTTGTCTAATGGTTCCTCTTGAGAATGGATTACTACATGCAAGGGTTTGTTTCGGGGTTTTATAGAGGGATGCAGCAATTTGGACAGGTAAGCACTGTTATCAGAAAGAGCTAGGTATTGTTAGTTGACCTTCTCATCCACTTACCAAAAAATTAGGTCAAATCTTGACAAAAAGTCAACAGAAGTTTACCTGCCATCAGCAAAAAATGCCCATGTGGACAATTGATACCCAATGATCATTGATCCTTGTTTCCCATCACTGGTTGTTTAGAGAAGTATACAATAAGACGTCGTTCACCAGAAACTTCAAATTTTCTGACACGGGTCCGTCTGTCTGTTATTATTTTAATGTGTTTAACCGACCAAAGCTCTTTGTATGATGTTTTTAATGAATGAAACTTTTGTATCCCAAAACTGACGCTGAGTGAAATTTTTGTGAGTTTGTCTCTTTATGTGGTTGGCTAGTGGTGTGATCTAATTTTGGTGCCCAACTTCCTCCATACCTCCGGTTACTTCTTAAGTCTTCTCTTCTCCACTTCTATCTTTGTATCTCCTATTCAAAATGCCAGTAAGATATGGTTAGATGACAATGGTACAATTGACTCTCTTCATTTTATATTTTCTTTTTTAAATCATCCTCTACTGGTATTTCACTACCCATTAATTTCTGGATAAATAGAATAAGGTATTATTAGTTGATCTTTAGTTCAATTTTAGATAATTTCGTTTGCTCTCTCTCACATTCTAGTTATCTCTTCTCAACTTCTTGTATTATTGGTCTAGTACTTAAAAACATCCATAAATTCTAGTATACTGTGGAGTATGTATCAAAATATTTCTAGCGTGGAATGTGTTTACTTTGACATAGTGCATGGCTTATGGAAAATGTGCAGGTGCAAGCAGTGCTCTTGCTTTTGGGAGAGCGCAAAATACCTACTGGTGTGCCTACCATTGATGTTCCATTTAATTCGAATAACAGGGTAATTTTGAAGTGGGAAGCATTGAAGGCTACTATTTTGTGTTTTCTAAATTTGTATTCATGCTTTATCTGCAATATTTTTAGGGTGTGGATGATAACCAGAAGTGCTCAAATATTTCACGAAGAATTGCCTCCCTGGTTAGGTTCCGTGAAAAGCGGAAGGAGAGATGCTTTGATAAGAAAATTAGGTACACCGTGCGAAAAGAGGTTGCTCATAGGTAAGAGGTGGTTACGACTCATGTTTTAATCTGCAATTAATGCATCTTTGATGTGGCTATTTAAATGTGTCGAGTGTAACGGGAATGTTCTCTTCTCTTTATTTTTCTTTTGGGGAGGGAGACATAAAGGATGCCCATGGTTCCCATCCGAATGCCTCGGAAATGGGTTGGGGCATACTGGTGTTACCCAAAAGCTTTAGGCCTTTGTTCCACATTTGTACTAACTCCACAGCGAGTCGTGTATTTATCATATCCTTTTACGTCTGTAGAACTTTTTAACTTCTATAGGTCATATTTTTGTGGTCCTATAAAATGTTCTATAAATTGGTTAGTGCATTTTGGTCAAAACGATTTGGAATATATAAGAAATCTGGGAGATTTAGATACTCCACGTCAAGGATAAACATAAATAATTAGGCATGGAAATCACAAATTGCAAACGGCGATATATAAGCAAACCCTCTATTTAGTAGGGTTATATTTGATATGAGAAGAACTTTTCTTCCAAAACCCTCAATCCCAATCATTTTGGTAAAATCCTTACTGCATTCAATTTGCCCTTGGTTACAATTATTTTTATAGGATTTTTAGTGGTTCGAAATTTGAATGTGAAATGATTATTTCAGTGTAACTAACAATAACAATAACAACCCAAAAAAAAAAGAAAAAAAGAAAAAAGAGAAAAGGAAAAAAGAAAAGATTATTCTGATGTAAGAGGTGTTACCGCTTGTGAGTATAACTTTTCCTTCTATATGTATTATCGATTTCTTTGCCGGCGTGAACTTCCTGCACCTCTTGAAGACATTGTTAATAAAATTAAAAATAATAATAATAATAGTAATTGTATATCTATTACTATTGTTATGCCTTCAACAAACATCATACTGGGGTATTTATAGACATGATAGTGGTGCTAGGGCACTATGGAATAAGTGATACACGTGATATTATTTGATGTTATTCATTTCATGTAATTTTGATTACCCGTGACTTTGTGTACCTGTGATGTAGTCACGGACGTGGTTGTAAGATAAAATCATAATTGTAGGCCATAGAATCACAATGCTATCCCTTCATATTCGAGCAGTGCGTTGTCAAATAAAACAAGATGCAGTGAGTTGTCACATCGCCACATGAAACTATTTTGTCATGCTTACTTTTGTAATACAATAAGTAGTCACTTGGAATTGACGATTTCAGTACGTATAGGTGTTTTCGAGAAATTATAAATGAAATGGAAAAATGAAATTTTCTTTGTATTAAAGTAATATTGTTCATAAACTATCATTGTTTTTCTCACCAACATAATAAAATGGTCACCTGCTAGGTAAACACGATTGGAACTTTGGTGCCTATATTTTATCTTATTTTCAGTTAATGAACTTCACAGTCATCTGATTTGTATTGTCATTACACAACCGTCCATCATATTTTTTTACCAACATAATGGCATTTTCTGCTTCTTTTCACAGTCGTAATAATGTGACTTAGATGAATTCTGAAATGTGCGGAAAAAACAAAGCATGTAAGTTGCACTGCAGAAGTCACATGCATCACGTAATGTCAAGAAAAAAGTCACAACGTATACAAGCATGGCAAAGTCAGAAAGTCACATGCATTACTGCATCACTGCATAAAGTGACATGCAGCATTGCATCACTGCACAAAGTCACATGCAGTGATGCAGTGATACACAAAGTCACACGCATCACTGTATCATTGCACAAAGTCAGATGCATCCCTGCATCGCTGCACAAAGTCACATACCTCCTACCTACTGTGCCCATTGGAATTATGCACAAACTGATAGGCATCACTGCATCTGCGGCACAATAGCCGATGCTACAGGCCGTTGATTCATTCATGACTGCACAAAGTCGAGTCTTGACAGCCGAATGCACTGGATAAGGTCAGCGGCATGCATGTGATCGAACAAGAAATTGCATACATACAGCTACCATGTGTACATATGGTATAAATATCGTAGCATACCACAACAAAAGTTTTACAGCTATTTCTAGCGATATCATCATGACATATACGGTGGTTGATCTATATTCAGCAATGGGTCGCTATTGGGTTGCAGATGGAGATGAATTTCAATACCCATTAAATCCAAATTTGCGTTACTCACGTGCCACCGTCAATACCATGAGAGCTGAGTGGGAATTTCGCAAAACTCGAGCAAACGTTCTCATTGAGCTATGCCGTGAAGTTAATCTTAAATTTCCTCGCCGGTTAGCCATGCGTATACCAACTGACACTCCACAGTTGTTGCAAAAGGCATTGCATCGTATCCGCGACGAGGTTAATCGCATGACCCAACGTTTGCAAAGGTCCGAACTAATGAAGACCGCAAATGAGCGTGCCGATGATGGGTTAATGGATGATGCACACCAGTACTACGCCTGGAGCATGGATGTTATGTATGAATCTGATATTGAGATGTCAGATGATGATGATAATGAATGAAATTGTTTGGATGAACGCCCAGGGCATTTCTGTAATGCATGCAATTTGTAATGCTTATCCATGACTTATCAATGAAGCGAGATATTTCAATTATTTTTAGCCTTGAACAAACATATTTTTTATAGCTTCTTTACACGTTTTGTTCAAACCAAACGCGTTTGTAATTTATGTTCTCCTAAATTACGGATAATGAGAGAGGGGTAGAGATGTGAAAGAGATTTGTGTGATTCATCAATATAAATAAGAATAAAAAATTGTGAAATGATAATTGCGAATAAATAAGTATGACACTTACATCAGCTGTACAAGTTTGACACATACAAACAAAAAAAAGAAAAAAAAAAACCTATATAGTCCATATCGCAACCGCTAATGCCCTAACCTGCCCCCAGTCCCACAACCCCGACCGTGGATCTCCCTCCTCGGTCTCCTACGGTAGACTCTCTGAATATCTGGCACTCTCTCCCCTGCATGCTGCCCTCCACTGACTGCCTGTGGAGCCTGTGAGTGTGAGTGTGACCCCCCCTCTCCTGCATCTGATGCCCCTGATCCTACCTGTGCTTGTAGATCAGATACTGCTGTGAGCTGTGAAACTCCCACTCCCTCGTCTGGTGCAACTGTATCACGATCTGCAGCTGGACCCCGACCTCTGCCTCTGCCCGCACCCCGACCTCGGCCGCGACGTCCCCCACAACCATAACCTCTCCCTCGCGCTCTGGGGGGGGCTCAATATGGGCCTCATCATCAATGTGGGAGATGTCAATGAGAACTGCATCATGTGTACTCCTGGGCGCGGTCAAAGTAGTCCCCATAAAAGCAGGTGGTAACTGGGTGGGTGGGGTAACAACATCATGCATGAACCGGGGCGCGGTCGAAGTACTCCCCAGAAAAGTAGGCTGTAACTGGGTGGGTGGGGTAATAACATCATGCATGAAGTGGGGCGGTGACCAATCAGGGTCAGGGTCAGCATGCTGGGTAAGATGTACGTGTGGGGAATATGGAGAAATGTATGGGGTATCATGTGGTGGGGTGACTGAAGTCGAAGGACCTGCTGTGGCTGGCGCTGAACTGGGAGGCACTGACGTGGACGGGACTGATGTGTCTGGAGCAGCTGCTGCAGTGTGTACACCGTAGTCCCCAAAATGCAGACGATCTACCCGATGGGCATGCTGGATCCCCTCGTACAATAACTCTCTGATCTCTACAAGGGCCTGCAGACCAAGCTGTCCATCACGTCTGAAAATAGCATCCTCAGCCAAGTGATATGACCTCCCAGCTCGAACCACCTGTAAAAAAAATAGATATATTAGGCTATAGTTGACTGAAAATAATCAATTATGATATTAACAATTATCGGAGATATAGTACGCTACTCACCAATGACTCGAGAGAAGGCCCAACTCCCTGATATCCGGCCTCGGACAGGTGGCTCGGATTACCGACAAGTAGGTGTGTATGTCGCCGATACCACAACATGTAAGGGTCGGGAGAGGGGAGGACCCCATCGCTCCAGTCAGCCTGTACAATAGTGTCGCGACGGGCATCCCACAACTGTATGTATCGCATATGATGCTGACTCCAGTCAGTGCTGGCTCGGCCACGTCTATCCGTCGCATGCAACCGCCACTCGGTGTCACACCGATCCGGCACGGCCTGGACCCGACCAAACTGTCGGAGGACACGATCAGGGAGATGCCACTCAACCACGTCAAAACAAATGAGTGGTACTCTCGCCATCCATATATCCTCACCTAGGCGGCAGTAGTCTGGGAGCGTCTGGAGGACATCAGCATAAGGCTGCCAGATAAACTACAATAACGACAAGTCTATTAAAAATCGCTCATAAACATATACAGTCCATATGACAATTAAAATTTAGGTATTTAAATTTGATACCTCGCCGTCTATCATCCGGTCAAGCTGGTCTCTATACACGACCACTACGTGGGTCGATACGACCTCGTGGCTCATAGCAACTTCCTTTTCTAAGAGGCTAATCTAGCATTCATCTTATCAATGACAGGTCACCATGTTTTCTTCATTTTGGGATTGGCACCTAGAGGCATCCCAAGATAAAGAATAGGTAACTTATGTCTTGTGCAGTGCAGTCTAGTTGCACACTCCTCTACCACTTGCTCAAGCACTCCAACACCACACACAATACTCTTATGGAAATTTATTTTCAGGCCTGAAACTAACTGAAAGCATCTCAAAATCCTTTTAATTAACATCACCTCCTCCCCACCTCCTTCACAAAAAATTATCGTATCATCAGCAAATTGAAGATGGGTTACCGTTGTTTTGGCTTCACCATGACCTATCACAGCCCCTGTTATTAGGCCTCTTGATCTTGCCTTTTGCAACAATAGATTTAAACCTTCAGCTACAAGATTAAAGAGGAAAGGACACATTGGATCCCCTTGCCTGAGGCCTTTTTCTGGAGTGAATTCAAGAGTTAGAGACCCATTGGCAAGGCCTGAAATTCGGGATAAGGTTAGGCACTCCTTAATCCAATTTCGCCATTTACCCCCAAAACCAAATTTGTTCATCATAGAAAGCAAACACTCCCAACTGACAAAATGGTACGTTTTTTCAAAATCAAGTTTTAGAATCAGGCCCTGTTTTCTATTTTTCTTTCACCAATCAACCACTTCATTTGCTATTAATACCCAATCCATAATATTCCTTCCCCAAGGAAAGCAGATTGTGCCTCTCCAATCACTCTATGGACCACTAGCTTCAACCTATTAGTAAGAACTTTGGCTAGAATTTTATACATAGACCCAATTAGACTGATTGATCTATAATCAGAAATTTTGGCTGGTCCATCCACTTTAGGGAGAAGAGTGATAAAAGAACTGTTAATACCCCTTACTAATTTCCCATTTTCATGGAACTCATTCAAGAATTGAAGGATATCATCTTTGAGAATCTTCCAACATTTTTGAAAGAACAATAAATTAAACCCGTCAGGACTCGGAGCTTTATTACCATCACAACTCTTAACGACATCCCATATTTCCCTTCAGTGAACCTGGCTTCAAGATTTTTAGCAAGACAATCACTGTCAATAGAAGTGAAATGCCCAGTCAGTTTGGGCCTAGACCTCTAATCTTGTGAGAATAGATTCTTGAAATGCTTAA